GAGAGCCCATGACCAAGTAACCAGCTGAATGAACTCTCTCATGGGCCCTTCTGGATGACAGACACATCCTGATGGCCATAGAAAACCTACCCACCCCACTCTTAGTTCCCTGAAATGGGACTCCAACCTGGCCTGAGAAACACAGCACATGTTCTAGAAGACATCAGGAAACGTAGATGGGGACTTGGAGCCCCACGCTTTACTGCACATGTAGCCTTGGCATCCTGAGCCATCACCCACTAGGATAAAGACTTGGATCTTGGCAATGTGTACTCTGACTCATTCCTCACCTTAGGCCTCCGAGGTCTGGCTTTGTAAAGGTGGTATCAAGGCCTTCAAGGACAGCTAAGATGCTCTGGCCCCCTCTATGGGCCCCCCTGCCTCCAGCTTAGCCCTACCTGGCCCTCTATGGACCCAGATCCTCTCCTGCCTCGCTGTAGGTCTTGACTCCTATCAATACCTGTGACTCTGAATGAGGAAAACTGTTTTTGCTGCCTTTTCAATCCACAACCCTCTGCTTGTGAGATATTGACAACAAGGCATCAGGAGTCACAGGAAGAGAACACATCAGGGAAAGCCCAACCAATCACTTCCTACCTGAATAACCTCCAATGTGGCTTCACTTCTCTACGCTCCAATGTTAAATGAGGATAAGAATCCTGCCTACTTTATAGGGATTAAACAAGATAACGGTGTCAAGTGCCTGGTATGGTGTCTGACCCCAGTGAGCCCTCAGGAAAGGCTATCATCAGTTACCATACCTCTCTTCTGAAGGGCTGCATTTCATCCTAAAGCAATGTCTTGAAGCTAACTCTTAGTGAATTCAGTTTTTGAAATGTAACTCACACCCTGGAAGATTTCAGGATTTAGGTACAATCAGATAAAATTTATGAGCACATCCATGTGCACATATGCACACACACACACACACTCACTTATCCTGGCAGTCATCTGAAAAGCTCACATGAGCTTTTCTTCTTAATTCTTTGAGAATCTGGAGGTGCTGGGTGTGATGTATGTTCGGTATCCTTCCACAGGGAGTCTGCCTCCAAGATGGTAACAAGCCCTTGTTTAGGGGCAGGAGCTCCCCAGGGGAGGCAGGCAGAGTGAAAGCGACTGACATTCTGTAGGTTTGGTTGTGTCGGCCCAGGATGAGCCCTGTACAATCACTGACCTTCAGAGATGGACGGCACCACAGAAGGTATATGCCTCATATCTTTCATTTTTCAAATGAAAAGAAATAGGCATAGAGAAGGGCATGGACCTGCTGAGGTCCCTCAGCTGCTGTGTGCAGGACCAGCCTGGAATCATCCTCACTGCCCTGCCAAAGGCTTTCCCTTCATGGCACTTGACACTCCTCTCAGCAAGCACACTGTTCCCAGAAGATTCCATTACTGTATCTTTCTCATGATGAAAGGGACGAGAAAGTCAGTAGCAATGATTTCAACTGTATGATCAGCAGGTTCTGGAAAGTCTGTCTTTTTCTAGTTGCTGTTTTTCAATGATCAGATTCTCCTGGGCCAAAGTTGGTACATGCAATAGGGTTGAGATCTCTAGATCCTTCTAAAGGTCACAGTCACCTTGCAAAATGGGACTGACACTGAGAAAACATAAGTCTGTCTGCTAGGGTAGTGGAGAAGCCTTTTCAGATACGAAAAGCTTGCAGATAAAGGGTCTAAGAATAACCAAAATAAAGCACTTCATTGGTTTCTCATATACTATTTAATTTAATCTTTAGCCCTGGATTGAGATTCCGAAGCTGTGGAGGAATGATGAAAACACTGGACCTTTGGCATTATCCAGCCCTAGGTCACATTCTGATTCTGCCTCAGGGTAGTCCTTTGATCTTTAGGCAAATAGAGTGAACTTTCTGAGCCTCAGTTTCCTTATCTGTAGAGAGAAGAAATAATCCATTTTTCAATGTTGTTTTGCAAATTAATGCAGTGATGTAAGAAAAACACCAGCACAGTCCTGGGCAGACAGCTGGAAGGGGCTCAGTGAATGTCATTCCCCTCCCCTGGGTTTGCAGCTGCTTCTGCTGCTGGGTTGCTTAAGGCTGAGCACTTGGCTGAAGCCCTTGCTCCCCCTGAGTCCTGTCTACAAAATAGATTCTACAGTTCCTGCCTCACAGGCACTGAGTCAGAAGAGGGTTAAAAAGAAAAATTCCTGCTGGGTTGCTTAAGGCTGAGCACTTGGCTGAAGCCCTTGCTCCCCCTGAGTCCTGTCTATAAAATAGATTCTACAGTTCCTGCCTCACAGGCACTGAGTCAGAAGACGGTTAAAAAGAAAAATTTAAGAAGCACCCTATGTCCAGAACCTCAGAAAAAGCCCAAGGAAAATGAGACTTAACCTGGTGTTGTTAGAAAAGACGAGTCCCAGTTATTATTACCCAAAAGGCACTGAGTAAAACCTGTGTCTTAATGTTTTATAAGAAATTAAATCAGAATGTAGAAAAGTCCAATTCAATTCACTCAGAATGAGCAGTAATGTTAACTCCATTCCTACTTAAAGCCGGAGAGCACAGCACTGCCAGATGAAAGGAGCCTGCCTCAGAGCAAGAATTTCAAAATGAACTCATTTGATAATTGGGCATTTGCATAGCCTGTTTCACTAGGCACGGTCGGTCCCAACACAGCAAGTATCAGACTCTCCCGAGTTCAGAGATCCCAGACTTGATGATGCTCGGTGCTGGGGCTGTGTATCCTATTGTCCGTTTGTCTAATATACACACAGGCCACATGTGCCAGGCAGTGTCTGGGCTGGCACGCCAAACTTCTATCCCAAAGAGAAATAAGATGTCTATCATTGGAGGGAAAAATCAAGACAGAAGAAGGCACCAACAATTGTCAATGTAGGATGAGGATAGCTGGTACCTTCTGATGTGATGATTCAGTAATGTGAAGGGGTCTTCTTGACCCTCCCCAGAGGAGCCACGTTTACACATTCCCTCATAAGGGTGATTTTGGTGTCACAAAGTACACCATGTTGAACCAGTTTTCTCCTTGTATTCTGCTATTAAAAGCAGGTGCCTGGCAAGCAGCTCTTGAAAATTAAGGTAGCCTACAATTATTTGACACCAATTCCATACCAGGAACTCAGCCTCCAAAAGCAGGTAAAAAGTCTTCAATGTTGATAAAATATGTGAGCAGTAAGTGGCACGTCAACTCAAAAAAGGTGAGGTCTGCCCATGTCAACTTGCCATTTTAAGGGCGAATTGTTTGAATCATGAAAGGGCATGTGGTATTAACCTTAGGACCAGAAGGATGGCAGGTCCTGCAGAACAGCTGGGGACCATAAATCTCTACTGTCCGAGAAGCAGAAAGGTACCTAATATAAGTGTAATTGAAAGATTTTTTTCTTCTCCCCTCAACTTAAATAGTTTGGCTAGTGTCAACGGGAAATATTTACTCCCACTCTGGGGTAGGGCCAGCTGCTTATGGGCGAGATTAAAGGACCATGCAGTGACTGGCTGCCGGCACTCCATCAGCCCCACTTCTCCACTGCATTCCGAAATTCCAAACACCAGACTTGTCTTAGAGATCAAGGTGGTAGTGGCTCCAGAAGCAGCTGTTAAAATGTACAAATGTTAATTGGGAGTTAACACCCATTAGCATCGCCACAAAGATTGAGTTATCAAATTAGCTATAACTCTTCTCATTGTGAGGACTTTAGAATCTTAAAAAAGTCAAATCAAGCAAGAACTTCAGAAAACATCTGGTCTAGATTTTATATTTGAAGAACTTGAGGCCCAGAGAAATTAAGTGGATTATTCAAGGTCACCAGCAAGTCAGTGGCAGAACTGGAGCTGAAGCCCAGGTTTCATGGGGCGCTTATTTCTAGAATTAACTAAACTCTAAAGCCTTTGTTTTACAGATGAGGAAACCAAAGTCTCATGAGAAGCAACTGACCAAGTGTGGACACACCCTGTGTTACCTCTTTTCCCTATTCAGTGTTCTGTGCTTTATATCACATGGCCTCTTTTCTCACGTGCCCACCGCTAGCGGAGAGGATGAAGTAAGAGGTGGCTGAATGATTTGCATTTGGGCACATCTTCTGTTAATTCAATGTGAGCTTTAAGAGTCTGCAAAGTGCCTCAACCCCTTTGGGTAATAAATTACTGAGGAAGGGAAAAGAGAAACTGAGTGGCCTGTGTACCTCAAAGTGGGGCAAATGGGGAATGATTGGAACACAAGGCTGATTTCTCCCAGGGAGGCCCATAGAAAAGATCATAAATGTCCCAGCATGGCATCTTCGCCTCCCTCTCTCTCCTTACCCAATGGCCTTCCTCAGTCCCTCCCCAAGAGAGAATAGTCGCTAATTAACTATCACAGCCTTGGCCCTCTTCTCTGGAAGGAGGTTGAAGGGTAGGTTATGGGGCTGGCGGAACAGGGCTGTGAGCACATGCGTTCCCCTTGGCCTTTCTTTTCTCAGTCAGACAGGGCAGAGCCTGACTAGGATTCCACCTGAGCATCCACTATAGACCAGGCTCATGTACACAGATAATACATTTTACCACCAGCTCTTATAGCAAACTTAAGACGTGGATATTATCATCACCAATGTACAGGTGAAGAAATTTAGGGCTAGCAAAGTTAATTTTCTTACCTGGAGTCACATAGCTGGTAAATGTCAGAGCCCTACTTGGATTCAAAGCTGTTTGGTGCAAAGGCAGGCCCTGCCTGCCTGACCTCAGGCCCTCTCCGGCTGCAGGTTACTGCACAGGATGTAGAGCTTCTTCACCATCCAACCTATTAGTGCTTTCCCCGGCTTTCTCTGAAGACACCTCCCATAATGTGAGTTATAGAAAGGACATGTTTTATTCTTAGTCCCCTTTTTATCATATGGCACCCAGCCTCCTGTAGAATAGACAACTTGCCTCTGATGGACAGAGTGAAGATAGTGGATGAGATGGAGGTCAACCTCCTGGAGTGGAGGGACAAGTACTTGAAGGCCACACTTGGAAGACAGTTTGTTCCACTAACCATTGGCTGTCTTTGCAGGTCTAGAGTGCAGCTTTGACTTCCCCTGTGAGCTGGAATATTCCCCTCCGCTGCACAACCTTGGGAACCAGAGCTGGTCCTGGCGCCGTGTCCCCTCTGAGGAGGCCTCCCAGATGGACCTGTTTGACGGACCTGAGGCAGAGCATTCTAAGGAGATGCCCAGAGGTAAGGATAGAAGCCACTGGAAAGTGTCCTCAATGGGCCATGACCAGGCCTGGATGCCTGTTTCTGTTTGGAATGATAAGGTACCCTCATCCCTGCTCTGCCCTGTTTCCCTCGAGACCTACTTTAATATCTGTGCCTCTTCATGGCTTCCCAGGCCCGCAAAGAAGTGGATCCAATTTAGGATCACCTTTACTCTTTTACCAAGTAATGCAAATAGGATTTCATAACTCTTCCACCCAGATTTCCCAATGCAAGATATAAGAGAAAGTGCTGATCTGTGGCACACATTTGGAATGGGTTTGCCAGATCAAATAGAAGACTTCCGGTTAAATTTGAGTTTCAGACAAACAACAACCATTTTTTAGTATAAGTATGTCTCATACAATAGTTGGAACATACTTATACTATAAACAATTCCAATAATACTAAAAATTCAAATGTAGTTTGGTGTCCTACATTTTTATTTGCTAAATCTGGCAATCCTAACAAGAACTGGGTTAAATGTTTGTTTCAAAGTCATTCATGAATATTCAGGCTGCGTGTTTTTTTCTCATGGTGCTTCCAGTAGTCCTGAGTTGTGTACAAACATCCTCTTCTGAATTATCAGGGCCTGGAAAAGGTAGACTCTGAACAAGTGGTGGGTGCCTGTTAAATAAATGCAGAATTTTTAGAGAGAGAGATGGAGGCACTAAGCCCTAGTTCAGCCTTCAGGTCTCCCCAAGCCAAACCTTTGAACTTCCTTGGACCTAGAAAATTCTACTGAACCAGAACTGATAGCCCATGTTTCTATTTTTTAGAAATAAGTAATAACTGCAATGGTAGTGGGCTTACTGGACATTCAGAGTAGTGCTTTCAGTGTGCAGACACTTTCATCTACACTGTCTAACTGGATTCAAATTTTGTGAGGGAGGCAGAGCAGATGAGAAAGGTGGCAGGGAAGGGAAGATGGGTGACTGGCCCAAGATTGCACCTGGGCTTGCACATGTGGTTCCAGGTCTAGATGTCTGTTGTGATAAGTCCTAGACAAGTCCACTTGCCACTACATCATGTTTCTGTCTGAAGGGAAGATGGGTGACTGGCCCAAGATTGCACCTGGGCTTGCACATGTGGTTCCAGGTCTGGATGTCTGTTGTGATAAGTCCTAGACAAGTCCACTTGCCACTACATCATGTTTCTGTCTTTGTAGCAAAAACTATGGCTAGAGCCTGCTCTGTGGCCAAATTCTTGAAGATGATTATCTCAGGCTCATGCAACTGGGGAATGTAATAGGGTCAGGGCTCAGGTAAGCTGATGGGGGAGGTTGGAGGTGGCACAAAAATAACTAATGTTCTCAAGTTTATAAGTCAGCCTTGAACCCTGTCGCAGCAGTAGAACTGTGAGACACCTTTCCTTTCTACACTCTCCTGGGAAGACCTTTTCTGTTTTTATCACTCTCTTGTGATTGCTTGACCTTGATTTATACTGTAAGCTGCTTTCACCTGGATACTGATGCATCGATGCATTGTGTGTGTGTGTGTGTGTGTGTGCATGCATGCGTGTGTGTGTGTGTGTCTAGGTGAGTGTTCTGCACTTTGTGTTAATCCCTCGTTTGCTCTTCTTTAGGCCTTACCACCTAAGTGTATAACTCCAAACAACATATTGATCCAGTTTGCATGTTTGTGTCCTTTTATATAAATGGAATCATTCTGTTGTTTTGTGTTTTGTCCATTTCGATACATATAGCTGTGGATCATTTGTTTCTGGTACTAGACTGAATCCACTGCATAAAAATACCACAATTCATCTCTTCTACTGTTATTGGACATTTGTGTTGTTTCCAGGTTTTTGCTATTACTGTACCAACAACACTAATGTGTTTTTGCACATGTCTCTTGGCGCACATGTCCAAGAGTTTCTCTAGAGCATGTACTAAGAGTGGAATTGCTGGGTGATAGTGTCACTGCATCTCCGTTTTATTAGATAATGCCCATCTATTTTCCAAAGTGGTTGTACCAACTTATACTCTCTCACTAATGATATATTCATACTCCGCCCTATGCTTTCACATCTTTGCCAATATCCAGTGCTGTCAGACTTTGTCATTTTTGTCCGTCTGGTGGATGGAATACAGTATCTCACTGAAGCCTCGATTTCCATGCAGTCTGTTTTATTTTATTTTATTTTATTTTTTGTAAGCTTCTCAGGGGATCTGAGGCATAGCAAGGCTTGCTGCACTGTTGACATGGATCCCCTTTCAGACTTCCTCCCATTCAGCCACCCCTAGGGTTCTAATATACAACTTCTAGGAACATATATTTTGGGTCACTGTATATTTTTTAAAAATTTATTTTCTGGGCATTGAATTGAGATCACAGTTCAAAGAGATCGAAAGAGGGACAAATCGGCAATTGTGTTCTCTATGAATGCCACAGACTGTGAGGTCAGATGTTATAATTGTGAAAGTTAGTGTTTTTTTTAAAATTTTAAAGTGGTGCCAATAAATTGTTCATTAAAATGCTCTGACTATCTGTCCTCCTGCATCCTCTACCTGTGACCTCTGGCACGTGTGTGGTACACTGGTGCTGTGAGAAAACAAATAAGAAGGGGGATAGGAGGGAACAAAGGAGAGAATAAATGCTCACTTTTCAGTGTTCCCGAGTGTGGACACACATCAACGCCTCTATGTTTGTATGAAGCTGGGTCCCAAGGGTCAGTACAGTGCACTGAATAGGAACCTTTTCCCATTAGCCAGATCAGTCAGGATTAGAATGTCCATCTTTTTAAGTAAATGTTGTCAATTTCCATCTCTCTGAAAAGGTGTCCGTCTTACCACATGGTAGTGTGCAGCATCACTAGGGACAATGGCGTGATCAGCCACAGCAATGCCACTGTGAATACTCCAGTCTGCTTTGTCAAGCTCTATAGTGAACAATCACAATGAAACTAAACTTGGGGAAATCTCCCCACTTTCAGAAACTTGGGTTCATTTTTTCTGGGACTTAATGAAAAGGTCCATTCTCACACAGCATTAATCAGTCCTAGAAACAAGGGGACCAGCCTTCTTGCCATCACAGGGCCTCCTTCTACAAGGACCCTGAGAGGTGTTCAGAACTTCCAGCAGTGGAGCTCTCATCACTTCTGGGATAAGTTCATCACATCCCTACTTGTTCCCTGAAGTAGGACTTTTCTCATGAAGCAGGTTGATGTATTACTGTTCCTCAACCTTCAAGGAAAGAGGTGATGGTGCAAGGCCCTGAGAGGTGTTCAGAACTTCCAGCAGTGGAGCTCTCATCACTTCTGGGATAAGTTCATCGCATCCCTACTTGTTCCCTGAAGTAGGACTTTTCTCATGAAGCAGGTTGATGTAATACTGTTCCTCGACCTTCAAGGAAAGAGGTGATGGTGCAAGGAGAAGAAAAGACATGCCCAATCTGCACAGTGGCAAAGCAAGGCCCTACATTACAATCCCAACTCCCAAATCTTTAGAGTCTTAGTCTCTCTGTCATTTTGGCAGAAGGGATGTTGGAAATAACAAGGAGTAATGGGGTGCCCTTTAGGGTAGTGTAGTCACTGTTTTGGTTTTTATTAACTCGACGTTTATTGGTTGGATGGTATTTAGACTCTATTACAATATTTCTTGTCAGGGTATATAGAAGGGCCAGAAAAAAGGCAGCAAGATAATACCAATCATAGATAATGAACTGTAAGAGTATAAATTCTGGATGATTTTAGTTTATGGCTCCTGTAGCTGAGAATAATAAGGGAGATACAATTCAGAGCAGCAAGATAATAAAAAGTGATCATTTTGATGGAATACAATATTATAAATTAATAAAATTTTGAGGAATCATCAGGTTGAGGCATTCTGTGACTCTTTAAGAAGTACCAGGGGCATATTTGATGTCTACTATTTCCTGTGTTTTAGAATATAGCCAAGGGAACATATTTTTCTTCTCCAGCAAGACAAGAGTTTAATCTCTAGAATGAACCCCAGCTTAAAAATGGAAAACACAATGTTACCCCTTCCCCTGAGCCCCTTCCCAAACCCCACGCTCATACACACACACAGGAAGAATGGGAGTAGACTCAGCTGTGAGGCACTTCGTGTTCTGCTTGCATCAACTCAACTCTCGTCCAAGATGCTGATGCTCAAGTCTTTGTTTTGCTTTGCTTTGTTTTATTTTTGGTGGGGACCCAGACAGAGCACTGCTACCTGAGATTCTTCTGTTCATCAAGATGGCTTAGTTTTCAAAGGTTGAGAAACACTGTTCAAGAGCCCTGGAATGGCAAAGTACACTTCCACACGTGACAAGGGCACCGCAACCTTTTGTTCAGAATGGTCCACTCCTGTTTTACCCTTGTGTGTTTGTTTCCTGTGGCTGCTTTAGCAAATTCATTCAAACTAGGTGGCTTAGAACAACAGATACATATTCTCTTCTAGTTCTGAAATTAAAGTGTCAGCAGAGTTGGTACCTTCTGGAGGCTCTGACGGAGAATCCATTCCATGCCTTCTTCTAGCTTCTGGTGGTAGCTGGCAATCCTTGGTATTCCTTGACTTGTAGATGTATCACTCCAATTTCTACCTCTGTTATCATGTTGAATTTCCCTGTGTTTCTGTCTCAAGTCTGTCTCTTATAGGGACACATGTTATTGGGTTTAAGGCCTACCTTAAATCTAGCATGACCTCATCTCGGGATCATTAAGTACATCTTCAGTGATCCTATTTCCACGTAAGGTCACCTTCATAGTACTGGGGATCAGTATTTGGACATATCTTTTGGGGGCCACTATTCAAACCTACTACACCTTGATTTTTCTCCCCTTGCATCTGGGTTGGCATGTGGATCCCATGTGTCTCTCCCTGTACCTGTGGATTGTGAGTTCTCAGAACCTTCAGGAAGTCTGGTTAGGCAGGTTCAGAGGAGCCCAGATTAATACCAGCATTTCTCATTCTTCCTTCAATTCCTTCTCCACCCCAAGGATTTGTAATATTCTTAAAAGTTCCCCTGAACACCTCTTAG